ACCCAGCCCCCATCCTCCTCCTCCTCCTCCTCCTCCTCTTCCTCCTCCTCCTCCTCCTCCTCCGCGTCATCATCATCCGTCGGTCCGTCGGCCAACTCCTCCTCCTCCTCTAACTCCTATTCCCTCATCATCATCCTCCACAGGGAATCCGCACCCCTCTATGCTGTTCTGTTCGCTTCCAGCTCTCCTCGCCCCTCCCGCCCCTCCCCAATGCCGAACGAATCGTGATCACCAAAGCATGTGAGATTGCCGTGCCATCGCCGTTATTGCACCCGCCCTTTCATCAACTCATCACATATGCTGCCATCACGTACACGGCTCACAAGGCTCAAGCAAAGCTGCGGCCTGCCTGCTGCTTGCGCGCCACATATCTGGCACGGCGTCGCGAAGTACACCAGGGATACGTGAAATTGTTCTCTTATGAGATTTGCCCACCAGATCTGCACACGCACGATGCCAAGGAAGCAAACACAGAGGGCAGGCGGTGGCGCTGTCCTTGTCGCACCCAATGCAACGGAGCGACACCTGCGCAACAGGCTCCACCTTGTACCCGTGCAACTGCAAGAGGCTCTCGTTCCACATGCGCTGAATACGTAAAACATCATCCGGAAGTGCTGGCCGGGGGTTGACGACGTCTGAAGCCGCCATACCAGGATTATTGCGCTGCGCTAGCTTGAACTTGCTGGGCGGTGGACCATGTACCTTTGCAAGTGCCATCCCAACTGAAGACAAAATGACATCACACTCCACAAATGATTCTGGTGAACTGCCTGTGCCCTGCATGACACGCCATATGGGCCGACTGGCATCGTCCTGGCGAATGCGCCAGCCGGAACGAGCAACGGCGCCATGCCACTTTACAAGCACTGCTGCCTTAACGGGCGCCCCCTGTTGCAAACCACCATCCACTGCAACGAGCGACATATGGTTATCGATGCCAAGGTCAGTCCGAGCGCGAGCGCGATACTCCAACGCTCGCCGGCTGAGATAGATAGCGTCCAACCAAACGCTGAGCAATGCCTGTGTGTCCATGCCAGCCGTGGAGTCGCCAGATGACAACGGGCCCGACGTGCTTCCTGGTGCGCGGCCAATGTTCCCTGATATATGGTTGAGCACGGCTTCGTCTGCTAGCTCCGTTGGAGATGACATGCAGGAGGCGGGGGCTGCTGGTGCATAAGCAGCGGCCGCAGCGGCAGCAGCGGCCGCTGTTCCAGGACTGATCGTAGACCCTCCACTGCTATTCTTCTGCTTTTTCAACTGTGCCTCCGCGAGACCTGTTGTGGCTAAGCTGGCTCGCTTGAGAATATTGCGTTCTACGCTCGTCATGATGCCCTCGCCGGTTGCCTTCATGTCGGCATCTATGATAGCTTCTAAATCTTCCTCGAGGCTAAGGCACCCTTTCACATATGGTCGAGCGCTGCCAAGTACATCGCGAACAACTGAAGACATGTCCTCAACAACCTCACCTTCTGCAAACGCATCCTCCTCACCAGGCAGCATAAACACCCAATCTTCAGCCCCAGCAGCGGCGTCCTCTCTCGCCGACCGCCGGGTGGTCAGGGCGGCGGCGGCGCGCCATGCGAGGTGGGTCTTTGGTCAGGACGATAGACTCCGTCGCTGCATCGACGGACGCCGAATCAGGATGTTGCCGCTGCCCCAGGTCGTCACAACCCCACGATGCCAGGAGCTCGCTAACAAGTATGTCCCCCGGGTCAAGAACATGAGAATGACTGGCGGCGAACACGTCGAGCGACGAGGTCACTGACAAGGGCCGATTGATTGTGACGCGACCGTTGCAGTATGTCCCAGCAATCATATGGCCAACGGAGTAGTTCATGTCA